AAGAAGCAAAGTAAAATATCATATTAAATTGAAACGCTGCAGTATTCTGTGGGGGCTGAATGTAATTAATATCCATGTTTGAATTTGCCTGGGACATTTATGGTTTGTTAGGGCTTCTGCTTTATAAGATGGTGAAAGTTGATATATTTATGGATTGTATATCATTTTTCATCCTTACATCTTGAAAAAATGTTTGAATTATTTTTTTTGGAAGGAACGTTATACATGGGGCATATATCTATATAAAACGATGGATATAAACAGAAGCAATGAAAGTAATGCACAGAGTATATACAAGAGCCATAAATAGTGCTAGGGAAAGTAATGCACAGGATATATATAATGATGGATATAAACTGAACCAATGAAAGTAATGTGCAGAGTATATTCAGTGATAGCCATAAATAGCATTAGCGAAGGCAATGCAGAGTGTGTATATAACAATAGATATAAACAGAGCCAGTGGTAGTTGTACATGTAATGTACGATATTAATGTGATTTGATCCTTCATAACAGCTTGAGCAACATAAAAAATAAATACAACAGAAGCAATGTGACATGCAGCTTTAGCATCCAGCTGACAACAGGATGGGATGGTTTATGGTTTGATGGTATAAGCTGCCTTTACAAAGCTATAACTCCCCCTGAATAACTTTATATAGTGCTCTGTGGCTCCCCTTGCCAAGATTTTCACTTGCTCAGTTCCCCTTGTTCATTTGACTTGCAAATTGCATCTTCCCTTCTGGAAAGTGAAGGTCTGGAAGGGGCAGGGTTGAGTGATTTAGACTGTGATCCTGGAAAGTGGCTTTGGATTTGGGGTGTCTCTTGTTAATGTCTTGTGTGGTCTGTGTGGAAGGAGTAACTGCTTACTTCTTAATGTCTTGTGTGGTCTGTGTGGAAGGAGGAACTGCTTAATCCTTTTAAAAATAAAACCATGTACATCCAGAATGGTTTATTCCCTTCAATGTGATACTACTGTGAGATGCAAATGTAGAACAACCATTAAAAGGTGGGAATAGATACTAGAGAAGGGACTGAGCCACCTGGTTAAGAGCATAAAAATAGAGCCTCTTGGGTGACTGGTGAGGAAGCTGGGGACTACTGCAGATGGTGAATTGTGTAGGGGAAAGAAATGGGGCTGTATGTGCTGGGGCACATTTACAGGGGCATTTACATCACTCTGCTCCAAAATCACTGGAGACGAGATGATAGGGGCAAAGTAATTAAGCCCTGGTGTACTCTGACCCCGCTTTGATTCTGGGCAGTTCTGGTGTGTTGTCATGCTGATAGTGTGTTAGTGCATATGCAAGGGTAGGGATGCATCCTGCCCTGACCACACCGAGTATGTACACAGGAAGCTATGTGAGGCTTGGCTTCTAAAGAAACAATATCTTGGCAGTCTCAAAGATAGACAGACAAATTGAAGTGAGTTAAAAGAGGGTATAGAAACCCCACATATCAGCTGTTCCAGAGTAGCTGCCTGTGTGTGTCCACTCTTACCCCACATTAAGTAAAAACTAAACCAGAAGAACTTACCCTTTGGTAAAACAGGGCTCAGTTACCAAGAGTTAGCTTTCCCATACCATTGCATGGGGTATGAGCAGACACCGGCAACACTGCAAAGCAAGTGATGTTTAGTAAATCCCTACCACCTTTTCACTCTCTGTGATTTGTTTGTCCAGAGCCTCTAAGTGATGGTTAGGGTTGTAGCTCAAACCATTTGAGGATGACACAAATTGGCCTCTGTCATCTTCCCTGTACATTCCTAGCAGACCTGAAAGCTGAAGCTGCCTCTGTTTCCCATCAGAGATCTTTCTTAGGATCCACCCACATTGTCCAGGAAACCCATCAGAGAATCTTCTCCCCTGAGTAATTTTACCCAACCCCATTTTGCTTGAGTGCAGAAATCCAGTTTGCTCTTTTCCTTTTCCTGACTGAATTAAGGTGTGTGAGGGAAACCCTTTCCTCTCTAAAGTTAGTGTCAGTGTTAGTAAGGATGCCTCTGCAGTGGTGGTCACGGAGCATGCCTGTCATGTAGTCTCTGTTTATGCTGCCATGGTGTTTTATTTGCTTGTGCAGCAAAACCAGAAATGTTACCATTTCTGGGATGGAAATCCCCAGCCTGGGGTTTGGGGTTTTTTTGGACCTATGTTCTCCCACTCCAAGTCCTGTCAGTTGCATGTAAATATTCCTCTCGGAGGTCAGTATTTTTGGACCTCTGCAGATTAACATATTTTCCACTCTGTAATCTGATGTATTTAAAAGCAACAGGAAAAAAGACTCTCAGAAGGTTTCACTTTGGATTCCAGAGACAAACAAGGGATACTGTGTGCTGTATTCATTTACATCTGTTTCCCCATTGCTCCATGCATAATAACAACTGAGAAGGGGGCTTCATTGTATAGGGGTTATGTTAATAAGGAGAAGTCTTGAAAAAATAGCCTAAGAGACTTAGCTACCCACCTCACCAAAATCCCACCCTGTAGTTTTTAAGAGCTTAGTACTGTTTATGAGTTCAAAATGCCTTTTACTCCACAATCTCAACGGATGTTAGAGAGCTGGATAAGTATCACGACTGCTATTTCACAGACAGGAAAACTAAGGCACAGAGAAGTCAAGTGACTTGCCCAAGGATGCACAGAAAGTCAGTAGCAGAGCCAGGAATCAACCCCCCAGGTGTTCTGTCCCACCCTCCACTCTCCCCAGTCACTCTGGTATATTTTTAAACCCTGCATCTCTTGAAAGTGAGTCTGGGGTGGTAGAACCAGTACCATTAAGGAAGAACGTGTCAGGAAAAGAATGATTCTTTTCCCCCTGTAATGGCAGACTGGGAGGTAGTGTGGGTAGAAAAACAAGGACTATGGAATGAACAGTGATTGGGAAATTAATGAGAGTGAGAGAGAAACTCCTAATAGATCCTTATATAGACCAACTTTGGGGATGAGGCCTGGCATTAACTTGGAACTGAGTGGAAAGACATGCTGCTAAATAGGGAAGACTGTTTAGGGCATGAGTCTTTTCTCATTTACATAGAAGTAAAGGAAAAGCCACTCCGTGGGAATCAGTGGGATGGAGGGGAGTCCAGTCCATTAAGAGGGTGTTGATTCCTCAAGGGTTTACACAACAAATGCTCTTAACATTCAGGCAGCAAGTCACAAGGTTGGGAGCAATATAGCCAAAAGGCTGCATTTGGACTAGGAAACACAGATCTTTCTCCACTACCACATCCCCTAGTCCTCAGGGCCTGGTGGCTCTGTGCTATACGTCTCCCAGCAAACAGAGCAAGAGGATGGCTGCCCTGCCAGAGGCTGCCTCCACATATGTGAAGTTGCTTCCCAGTACCTAGGCACCTCATTAGGGTGCTGCTGGCCAAACTGCTGACATCTTCCCTTTTGGACACGCCTCCCCTCAGAACTGACTGCATTAGTGGAGACTATTCTCCTTGCTGCGTATGAGCAGACTGCAAAGCAAGCTCTGAGCCCTTCGCATAAGCAGGGCTGTCAGGCCAAGGCACTCAGGGCACCACTGAGATCAGGGGATTGGGACACACAGGCAGATTTAAGCCAGTTACCCCCCAAGTAATGGGAGCTTTTGCCATTCAGGAGTGATCTCAGATCTCTCTGCCCTGAGACACTGAACCATTTCAAGCTCTCTTCTCTCATTACATTACATCACCATGTTGATGAATTCCCCACTGGCTTCACAACTGCTCCAGTCTACTGGAATCCCAGTTTGGGAGGCAGTGTGGTGCAATGGGCAGCAGTGGGCCATGTGTTTTGGGATCAGGGGACCTGGATTTACTCTTGACTCAGGCAGAGAGGGCTGCAGATCTGCACAGGGGGCTGCTTTTTCTTCTCTAGTTCCGTGTCTGTACTCCTTACATATATTATGAGCTCCTTAGGCCAGGGGCTGTCTCTTATGGTATGCCCCTGGGCCAGTGTAGTGCCAGTCACAGCTGGGATTGCCAGACACTAATATTAGTAATGGGGATCTCCTTCCTGCCAGCGCCTGTTGAGAAGGGGCTGTCCTTACACTCCTGCTGGACCAAGTGTTGTCTGAGAGGCTGGAGCACAGTCCTCCTGCCATGCCTGGGGGCAGATCCGTCTTACCATTCCAAGTAGATTTTTGGATGATTAGAACTACATAGACAGAAATCTTGTTAGTTTGGATACATGGAGCAGAAAATTCAAAGCCCACTGAAGTAACTGAACAAGGTTTACAGGTCCCGAGGTGATTGCTGCTGCAGTTTGGTTACCTCCTCCTGGCAGCAGAGAAGAGACAGCCTCCTCAGTGGACACTGAAAAGAAGTGGAAAGGAGTTTCATGCTGAGGTGCAGAGAGCTGCTTAGTAGGGGAAGGACACAGACTCTGGAGGGCACTGTCTGTGGTATGTTTCCCCATAGCTGGTGATAAACACAGGCTTGTAGGCAGATGCAAGCTTTGTTGCTCATAGGAGATCATCCTGTTGGCCAGTGCTCAACATTGCGAGGCTGGGGTCCTGAATACTGGTGTCAGAGTAACTACCAAAAGACAGCAAGGGAATAAGGAAAAATGATGGGTAAGGAGAAAAGGATAAGTAACTGGCTGGATATGTAGCCCTAGACACAGCTAGGGCTAGTGCTCAGGGTATCCAGAGCACTAAGCCAAGCTAGTGAAACACTGGTCCGGGCCAGCTACAGTGAGTCAAGCATGTGCATTCTTTTGTTTTAAAGGGAGTATTTCCTGCCATCGCTGCAACACAGGTGTGCCTGGCTACATGCCCCACACTGAATCACACTGCTGTGGCTGCTGCTGCAGTGCATATTAAAATTCCAGATTTATTGACTAGAGGTATCTAATCTTGACCTTGCATTTCACCTTGCACTAACAACAGTGCCAGCAGGTGAATAAACCTTGGAGTGGGCTCAAAATGCAGTGACTTTTGCCATGGCACTGGCCTTGGTTTGCTAACATCTGCTCTTGTTTTCTTTCCCTTCCCCCTTTGCTCTTGTTGCCTGCAGGTGAGAGATAGGATGATAGCTGGGGAGGCGAGCATGCATAGCCCAATCCTGGCCTGCTGGCAGCCTATTCTCCTCCTGATGCTGGGCTCCATCCTCTCCGGCTCTGCCACGGGCTGCCCGCCCCGCTGTGAGTGCTCTGCCCAGGAGCGCTCTGTGCTGTGCCACCGAAAGCGATACCTATCCGTCCCCGAGGGGATCCCAACTGAGACCCGGCTCCTGGACTTGGGTAAGAACCGGATCAAGACGCTCAACCAGGATGAATTCGCCAACTACCCTCACTTGGAGGAGCTGGAATTAAACGAGAACATTATCAGTGCCATTGAGCCTGGGGCTTTCAACAGCCTCTTCAACCTCAGGACTCTGGGTCTCAGGAGTAACAGGCTCAAGCTCATCCCACTGGGGGTGTTTACCGGACTAAGCAATCTTACCAAGCTAGACATTAGTGAGAACAAAATTGTGATCCTCCTAGATTACATGTTCCAGGACTTGTACAACCTGAAGTCATTAGAGGTGGGGGACAACGACCTGGTTTACATCTCCCACCGGGCCTTTAGCGGCCTTAACAGCTTGGAGCAGCTTACACTGGAAAAATGCAACTTGACCTCCATCCCCACGGAGGCACTATCCCACTTGCACGGCTTGATCGTGCTGAGGCTGCGGCACCTGAACATCAATGCCATCAAGGATTACTCATTTAAGAGGCTATACAGGCTTAAAGTCCTGGAGATCTCCCATTGGCCCTACCTGGATACCATGACGTCCAACTGCCTTTATGGGCTGAACCTCACGTCTTTGTCCATCACTCACTGCAATCTGACTTCCATCCCATACGTGTCCGTGAGGCACTTGGTATATCTCAGGTTCCTGAACCTGTCTTACAACCCCATTATCACCATTGAGGGCTCCATGTTGCATGACCTGCTCAGGCTGCAGGAGATCCAGCTGGTGGGCGGGCAGCTCACCACCGTGGAGCCCTATGCCTTCCGAGGCCTCAATTACTTGCGCATTCTGAACGTTTCTGGGAACTTGCTGACCACACTGGAGGAGTCGGCCTTCCACTCGGTGGGGAATCTGGAGACACTCATTTTGGATAACAACCCTTTGGCCTGTGACTGCAGGCTGCTTTGGGTTTTCCGACGCCGCTGGAGGTTGAATTTCAACAAGCAGCAGCCCACCTGCTCCACGCCTGAGTTTGTCCAGGGAAAAGAGTTCAAGGACTTCCCTGATGTGCTCCTGCCCAACTACTTCACCTGCCGCCGGGCACGGATACGGGACCGCAAGCCGCAGCAGATCTTTGTGGATGAGGGCCACACAGTACATTTTGTCTGCCGGGCAGATGGGGACCCACCCCCCGCAATCATGTGGCTCTCTCCCAGGAAGCACCTCATCTCTACCAAAACCAACGGACGGCTCACCGTCTTCCCTGATGGCACTCTGGAGGTGCGCTATGCCCAGATCCAGGACAATGGCACCTACCTATGCATTGCCAGCAATGCAGGTGGCAATGACACTATGCTGGCTCACCTGCATGTGCGGAGCTACTCCCCAGACTGGCCCCACCAGCCCAACAAGACCTTTGCTTTCATCTCCAACCAGCCCAACGAGAGTGACGCCAACAGCACACGTGCCACGGTGCCTTTCCCCTTCGACATTAAGACTCTCATCATTGCCACCACCATGGGCTTCATCTCCTTCCTGGGTGTGGTGCTGTTCTGTCTGGTGCTCCTCTTCCTGTGGAGCAGGGGGAAAGGTAACACTAAGCACAACATTGAGATCGAGTATGTGCCGCGCAAATCTGATGCTGGAATCACCTCTGCTGATGCGCCACGCAAGTTCAACATGAAGATGATCTAGCTGGAAGCAATTTGCAAATAATAAAGTTTTTTAAAATATAAAACAAACAAAACAAAACAAAAACATTGCTACAAACATACCGACCTCTTTCCTCCCTCCAGTCCCCTCTTCCCTGTTGTTCTGATCCCACTTGCCCACTCCACCACCTCTTTCTCTTCCTCTTTATACCAGGAAAACATTCTGCTGACATCTTCAGGACTCCCGTGTTTGTAAGGACGTAATCTGACGGACTGCGGTGTCAGATCTAATTACCAGAAGAGAAAAAACAAAAAGCAGAACAAAGATTAAATAAAATAAATCAATAAAAAAGTTACGAACTTTCCTCTGTAACTTTGATTTCAATAATTATGGATTTTTATGAAAACTTGAAATAATAAAAAAAACCCTATTTCCTATAGATAGTTGGAATGCAAAATTTTGACTTCTTGATCTGTCCGGTTCTGTATCTGATCAGTTTTTGTTTTTCCTCCTCTTCTCTGACTCACTGTGGAAGAGGTTTCGAGCTGTCTCAGAAGGAAAAGAACTGGGCCTCCTGTCCACGTGACTCCAGGGCTCAGGTGAATTGAGGGAAAAGATGTTGCTCACCAGGGAGTCGGGAACAAATTCTGGTGTGATTTACACCCCAGGTAGAACCACTGAAGCAAGTGAGGTTGCCAGGGGAATATGTCCAGCCAGAATTCAGCCCTAATTTTTTACTTTGCCTTTTATATTAAAATAGTTCAGTTTTCTGTAATGACTGGTTGAGATAATGCCATTCCTTTCAGCAAGCTCAGGGTTTAAAGTCCATGTGGTGCTGTACAGCCTTTCTCCATTAGTTCTGAGGAAGCCAGCTGATATCTGAATTTCAGATCTGCAGCGTCTACACACCACGATGAAGCCAGTGACTCAGCCTGTTTTCCTGGCCTGTAGAACAACAGTGCTGTGTCTCCTGGTCTTCTCTACTCTGCCAGCTGACAACGGCAAGCTGTAAGAACAAGGAATCCGTTCAAAACAGATTGGAGATTCTGTAAAGGTCAGGCTCTCAGGCCACTAGAGTACCGCTCCTGCTGTCACTGTTCTGAAATGTATCCCAACTGGGGCCTTCCCCAGCACGGTCCAGGACATGCCAGCCTGGGCTTTCCCTAGGACAACTGGTGAAAGGGGTCCTGTTATTTAGGCATTCCACTAATGCTATGCAGGGCAGAGACACTTTCTGCAGCTCTCAGCGATAGTCCTACCTCCTGTCAGGCAGAGGGTCTGATTTTGCTCTCACACTGGTCTTATGCTCCTAGAACTCCACTGACTTCAACAAAATTATCCTGACTTACACCAGCAGAGGTAGAAACAGCTGGCTCCTTGGCCTGCAACGAGTGCTGCTGTGGAGAAAGAGTGGGGTTTCTTCCAGGTGGGACCGATGGAACCTGTGGTGCTGCTAGAAGGGATAGGGGAGGCGGCCTGGGACAAATGCTGACAAGCTCTGCCCATTTAATTTAGGTGCAGCTGAAAGTAGGAGCTGGCTTGTGGATGGCATAGGAATTGCATGTAGGATGTAAGTGCTGTGCCCCCTGCTCCGGCACCAGCATTCCTAGGCTTCAACCAAAGGGTTTTGTCAGCCAACATGTCCTCCCTGCAGCCACCAACCCAGAGAGTTCCCTGATGTCCTCTGTCCCCTGATTCCCAGGTTAGTAATGACACTCCTTGCAACTTTTTTTATTCCCTGACAGTTGGTAGCCAGACTTTCTCCAACACCCTCTGGCATTTCTTTTGAGACTAGTTTCTAGACATTCAGAAGACCTTATCTAGAAGATTCAAGAACCGGTGACAGAAGGAAGGATGGGAAATGACTGTAGGCAGGGAAGACTGGGGGACATGGCAGTTTTGGGCTGGGGCAGTGCAGGCTGTTTTCTTTGTATATGACCTGGATCTCTCTAATATGCCCATCACTGTTATATCTGGACACTTAAGGTTTTATGGAGTAGCATCCTTCCCTGGACCAGCCTCTTGGTGTTGGGGTTAGTCCCAAGGGGCTCTGGAGGGGTCTATCTTTGTTTGTGGGTTATAATCGCCTGTTTTTAAGATTAAGCATTGTTTAAAGGCCAGCATTTGAAAGTGTGCTCAGTATATTAAAGACGAATTTTGCCTGTCATGTGCATCTGTGTGCATGCATGTGTGTGTGTATGCATACGCACACATGCACAGGCATATGTGCTGTGGTGCTCTTCAAAGCGCCCCCTGGAGATCCAGACTGGGATTCATAAAAGTTTACTTTGCATAGTGTCTCTCTCGCTGGAAGGATGTCCCAATACATTTAGTGGAGTTAAATACTATGTAGGAGAGATGGTGTGAATTACAGAAAGCACTGGCATGAAGACAGTGCATGGTGAATAAATTAAAGCACTGAGTCAGAAGGGCAGCCCCAAAGTGAGGGAGAAATTAAGAGGCACGGAGACAAGGGGAAAAGATCTGTTTCAAGATAAGCTTTGAAAAACAGGCACAGACCTTCCCTGTTCAGTTTATCCCAATATCTAAGCCTCTTGAGGAATTTAATTAAATACAATTCTCACTTACACATTTTGGAAAGGGTTGACTGAATTTCTGTACTTACAAGGAAAGGAAAAGATGATGAATAGAGCATCTTCACTGGAAACGGGGCAGTATCCCATGGGAAATATGGGCTAGGGCCTCTGTGAAATGACAGAATGGGGCCCTCTATGAAGCAACTCTCCTCAAGACTTTCTCTAGCTTGAAAAACCTGGGAGCCCAGGGCCTCTCCGACAGTGTCACATGAATTTGGTAATTTCCGGAGGGAGTCGACAGCTTGGGCAGGGGAGACTAGGGCATTGGGAGGAGAAGCCTTCTAATAACCACCAGTTGGAATCTGGATCATGCTTGACAGCTGCTGCCCTCTCAGACCTGCTAGGTGAGCGAAGAGAACTAAATCTGTCCCATTCCAGCTCCCAATGGACAGATGGCTGTATCACAGACTGCCACCATCACAACTGGTGTTAATGAGCATGTTTGCTGGGACAGAGATCAGATGATGGAATTGGAGCCACTTTGTGATCATCTGAACAGCCATCCTGCCCAGGCAGGGTTGCAAGGTATTGTCAGGGCAGATGGGGAGCTTGTGCTGCTGTGCTGTATCCCGGTGGTGAGTGGAGTGGCGGCTTCAGTGTATCACCGCACTCCATAACCCATTGGAGAATGAAGCAGGCCACTCAAGACACAACCACTCAAGAGGTAGCTCATCTGCCTAAATGAGGCAATGAACAAAGTCTGCCCGTGGTATGACAGAACCAGGACCCAGGGCAGGGGCAAAGGGAAGAGAAGGGCCGTGTTGCAAACACTGTCATATCTAAAAGATGCAGAGTGAAGTGCTGAAATAACTAACAGTGCAGCATTCACTGTTGAATGAATAACTGCCAGCAGCACAAAAACCACCTGCAGTGGGCTGTACCCTGCATTGGATCACACTGACAGCCAGGTAGAGGGTATCAAAGCCGTTAATGACATTCCAACTCGACTGCATCTGCAGTCAGTAAAAAAGGATGAATGCAAGGGAGAAATATGGGAGTGTCAGGAAGAGCAATGGATTTGAGAATAAGCAGATCTTTTACAGCTTCTCCAGGGACCATCCAGTGAGTACCAAGCTGGCATGCTAGGAACATGCAGAGTCTAAGGTAGTATTTGCATCTGACATCCCATCTTCCCTAGTATGGAAGTCTTGGACACACAGAGCCCTACCAAAGCGCCCACAGCTCTGCTTTCAGCATCCTTTCTACTGAAAACTCCAATGTGCTTGGGCCCTGACCTGCCTATCCTCCACTGCACCTTAGCAGACTTGAATGTACTACAAGCCTGACTTGTCTGAAATCCAAGTCCCAGGCTTCCTCTGACAGTGCCGCTCAATCCTCATATGGAGTCTTCAACTCTGTTTCAGTCCTTTCCTAAACAAACCATGCTGATTTATTGGGTTGCTTTATGATATCTAAGGAGACTGCAAAGTCATTCTATTTGGGACCTGAGCTACTGGGAACCCAATAGCAAGGGGACAAAGTTGTCTCTTTCTCAGTCATGACCTTAGAGTCTAGTATTTAATCATCAGCTGTTTCCCCCTCTCTTGCATTCCATCGCATCCTTGATGTGGTGCTGGAGGAGATGTTTATTATTGGTGTATTATTCCCAAGTTTGTTAGATCTTTCCAAGGCCCTATGTATCTCATGCCTGCTTATTTCTAGATTATTCACCCTTCGCAGAGATGTCACTAGGCTTCTACCACAGCATGACTTCTGCCACAGCATGACTTCTGCCACTTGATATTTACCATAGGGCCATACTCAAACCCCAGAGAATGAAAGAAAGGTCCAGTGTATCTTGAGAGGGCTCCTCCCTAGCACATGTCTCATGGAAGCTACCAAACTAAAGCACAAAGCACTTGCAGTCACTAAAAATCCTATGGCCCTTTTCACGATTGGGACATTAACCCTGGGTAAGTGCATTCCATTTCCCTGCATTTCCTGCATCATGATTGTACATTTAGATGCCATACAAATAAAGCCTTTAAATCCTAACCAGAAGCAGGAAGCAAACCATAGAATTCATCCCAGCTTTACTCATTATGTGACCCTGAGCAGATCATTTCACTTCTTCTGTCTTGTTTCCCTGTTTGTAAAATAGAGATATCATGCCAACCTGCCTTTGACAAAAGAACAAAAGGCTGTATGAAAGGTGCTAAAGACATGCTAAATATTGATGATTACTATTTATTATTGTTCTCAGGACTATGAAACAAATCTATCTGGCTTACAAAAGAGCTATATGTGCCAAATTAATTTTACAAGATGCAATTTGCCTTTGAAATATTCCCAGGTCTCATGTGGACAAAGTTCTTGCCGTTTCCTGCTAGATGATATAGTTTTACCCACCTACAAGTTTTCCCAGCAGCACTTGCTACAAACTTCCAATAATTGATTGGAACTGTCTAGTATTCCTCCAGGGTCTTCTCCATCCATGTGATTTTCTTCTGGCCGATGTCTGCCAGTCTGGGGAGGGAAAGGAAGTGAGGTTATAATGAGATTGAGCCCAGTCTGACATAGCTTTGCTGGCACAGGCTCCTAGTACAGACACAGTTATAGGAGCAAAACCATGTTTTGGCCAGTGTCATCTCATTATTGGAGAATGGGGAGACTAAAATAATCTCAAAGTGGGTGTGACTATCCCACTGTAAAGACCAGGTTTAACATGACAGTCACATCCATATGCAGGGCGCAGTGGCAGTATAATACACCAGTACCCCTCCACCAATAAAGTGTGGACAGCCTTAAATTTGGATCCAAAACTCCCCTCAGGATCAAACTGAAGATTAGAGGTAATAGGTATGGGAGGCTGGCTGAGTCCATGGCAGAGCTGGAGGCTAGGTCTG